GTGTGTGTGTGTGTGTGTGTGTGTGTGTGTGTGAAGAATAAATGTATCTGATTCTCACCTTGTGTGAATTCGGTTTGATGCATCGAATAAAGTACGGGTTCGAAGTGCTGAGCGTGGCCATCAGAGAGTGAAGAGAGTTCTGAAAAGACAATAAAAAAACTGAAACCAGTGCAAACATTTATCATTTTTATATTATTACCAATATTATAAATACTAAAATTACTAAAAACATTCAAAACTACCATTTCCCCACCAGAAAAAGCACGGTTTCTTTATTTTATGTTTATTTTGCTGCATTGCCAATAAATAAGACTTTATGAGATGATTCTGTTTTATTTACATTTTACACAACTTTTTCCAAAGTTGGTGTTTTATTTACTCCAGGGTTCCTACGGCTTAAGGCAAATTAAATTTAAGACTTTTTAAGACCTCTTTAACGCCACTTGAAATTAAATTTAAGACTTCACATTAAACACCGTTAAGACAATTTTACATAAATGTTTATTTTAACACAAAACAACGAGCTGTGACAGACATTCAGAAAATAAAATAAATAAATGTTACCATTTAGTTTAATATTCGAGACAAATTATAATGATTGTGTTACCATGTTTAAGACCTCTGAAAGATAGATTTAAGACATTTTAAGGCTAATTAAGGCCTTCGGTCCCAACGAGGCTGCGTTTGGCATTGATTTCAATGCCTTTCAAGACTTTTTAAGGACCTGTGGGAACCCTGTACTCTAACGTTACTGAACTGTTTTTATTCTGCTTTGTTCCTCTTGTTACTAATTTAATTATTTGGAGCTGAATAAAAAGTTGAACCACTGCTGTGATAATAAAACCARCAACTACTGCTGATGGAACAGGAAATTACTATAAGATTGACTAAATAAAAATGTAATTAAATCTAAATTAAAATAAGGTTGTTGCTGTGAAATGTGATTAAAAAGTGTGAAATGTGATTAAAAAGGTAAATAACTAAAAATAAAAGCAGGCAGATCATTTCACTGTAAAACCATAATGTTGGTGTGACTTGCCTTGAACTGGGAGCTGACCGTCGGCCGTCGGTGCTTGCAGCTGCTCTTCAGAGTGTCCTGTTTGTTTCGACTCAACACGTGTTCAAACAGATCGTAGACAAAGTCCAACCTGAGCCAAAGAACAGGTGTGATGTGTGGAAATGATGAACAGGTTCACTGCTTCATAGCAACAAAATCAAACTTAAAATTTAAAACCCAAACAAAGCTTTTAACCACCTCTAATACAACATATTTACATATGAAGTAGCAGGACTTTATAATCAGAATACCTGTTTTTATAGTCATGATAAAGTTTTAATGATGTAATGTTTAAAAGAATGAAGGAACCGACCTGCTCTCTCTCAGCATGTTGAGGATGTCGTCTCTGAAAGTGTCTCTGTTCTTCTCCAGCATCCCCCTCACGTCGTACACCACCTGCAGCCGGCCACAAGGGGGCGGTGGAGTTTTACAGGAGTGAAGGACAACAGAGCAAACTCCACAGGTTTGTTTCCCTGGTCTCTTTAAAAACTAACCAACGACCCAACAATAAACAGGATGTCTCACCTCTCCTGCGTAGTGTCGGACTCCAAAGAAGTGCACGGCAACGCGAGGTTTCACATAAAATGGATTTTTCTGAAAAAGGTCACAAAGAAGACCGTGATCTTTCGTCTTTTAAAAACATCTATGTAAGCATAAAATAAGAAGAAAACAAAGTCAAAGGCAAAACTGTTGCTGCAAGAGAAGCAAACTTGAAGTTGTGTTTACTGTTTTTTCACAATAAACCACCTCAACACACCAAAAACATCTGGTGATCAAATAACTGGACTCGTACCGAGTGCTGGTTGTGAAGTTTCTCCAGTAAGGTGTCGTCTGTGGCTTTAGGGAAGTGACTCTCCTCGTTCATCAGCGCCAGGAGACCCAGTTTCTGTTAGAAAAACAAATACCATCATCATCATCACCATCATCCAGAACCTTCTTCAACACAGACATCAACACATCTCTAAAATAAGGTGATTCTATTCTTCCTGACGTTTCTGAATCGACTCAAAGATTTGTTTTTTGACACAAAACGTCTGAAGGTAAAGAAGTAAAACGACTGAATCACCTTTTCTATCAGATCCAGACACTCTCCGTTATCCATCCAGTCGATGTCGACCCACAGCAGACCCTCTCTGCAGAGAACAGCGGCAAAAGAAAACTGATTTAACCTCAAAAACGTCAAACTTTAAACAAATCCCAAAAACAAATCCACCCACTTGTTGTATTCAAGCTGCTCCAGGGAGAAAATGTGTTTGTTAAAATATTCCTGCAGCTTCTCGTTTGCATAGTTGATGTTGAACTGCTCGAAGCGGTTGACCTGAGGCGAGAAAAATCAGGCAAATATTAAAAACTAAAACAGGAATCAAATTTTAAAACCATTTCACTTCTAAACACCTCGAAGTTCTCAAATCCAAAGATGTCCAGGATGCTGATGGACTTGAAGTCCTCTCTGCCTCGGATGCGGGTGTTGAGTTTGTGGATGATCCAGTTAAAACACTGAGAGTAAAGGGCCATGGCCATGGAGTCTCTGGAGTCCACCGCCTGCACAACAAACCGTTATTAACCAGCAGCTGAAACCGGTTCTTCTGTGAGGAACGCTGGTTATAAACACACCTGCTCAACGGTCAGCGGCGTGGAGATCTCCTCCCCCCTCAGGATCATGGACCGTTGGGTCAGGACTTCTGCCAGCTGATCCGAGTTCAGTCCTAAGAGCTCTGAGGTCCAGCTGAGAGCTGCAGACAAAACAACACTCAAACTCAAAGACTGGATTTATTTCATTTCATAATCCTCAATAATCTGAAACAGAGTCACGCCTAATGATATGGAGGACAGAATCTGACAGAATTAGAAATAAAAACAAAACTGTAAATATGGAAAGTTTATTTAAAAATAAAGACACAGGTGTTTTCCTCCTTGCTTTGTTTTAAAATTAAACTTTAAACTGAGGCACAAGCATGCACAGCAGATCTGCACACGGATCCTGCTGCTTCCTGTCTGTTGACCAATAGAAGAGGAGCTGACCCAAGAAGCTCCGCCCACCTTGTTTAGATAATGAGGCAGAAACGCATAAGATAAAGTTAAAACAAAGACAGAGAAATTTAAAAACACGTGGAAATAAAAAGACCTGTGGGCAAAAACTATGAAAAAAATAATTTAATATAATAATTTAAGAGACACAGATGCATGTACAAGTAAAATAAAAATATATATATTTAAAAAAACATAAAGTGTAAATTATGTTCTAAAATACATAAATTATTGAAACCAAGCTGGAAAACTAAACATGAAGGTCAAATAAATTACAAAATGAGGTAAAGTTTAATTGATGCATTCTAAGTATTTATTTATTTATTGGTCTGTTTCTGATTTTATTTCTAATTCTGTCAGTTTCGGTCCTCCATAGATTGAACCATTTCAGTTTAGTTCCTCATCATTTAAATTTGACAGTTAGGAAGAGAAAACCTCTCTGACCTGACTTGGAGGAAACCTGCGCCCCCCCAGCCGTCATAAACTCGATGTTCCCTGCGTGAAGGATCCCGGCCAGGAGGCGCAGAACCTCACCGATGTTCTCCTCGGAGAACTGCATGGTTCGCATGGCGTTCTGAAAAACCACAGACAGAAAGCTGAGGGTTAAACGCCGGCTTCCTGCTGCTCCTGAGCCACACTCCCTGCAGCTCTCGGGTCAGAACTAGAAGCTGCTGCTCATAGTGATGCGTTTACCAGAACATCCTGAAAAGTGCCTTTGTCGTTGATTGTCTTGTCCGTGTGACAGTGGGACTGTCTCAGGTAGTGATAGTTTTCAGGGTGGGTCAACCCAAACGCTTCTGAGGAAACACAAATAAACACATCAGCACAAATAAAAAACACCTCTTCTTACATGTTCCTCAGAATAAAAACTGAAAACATTATTATTAAAAAATAGCCTTTCTAATAGGAAAACATATCGTGTTATGCTGATGATGTCATGTTGTGTTTGAGAACCACAGGGGACCTTTCCTGTCCAGGTCCTGGACTCTGGATTGGTCTTCCTGGTCCTGGTCTCTCATACTTTCACTCATAACTGAAAATCTGCCTCTTCAAGAGATTTTTGTGAAAAACATTCATTTTTTGTCCAATTTTTAAAACAATTTTTTACGATTTTTTAATGTTTTTTCTCTTGCTTCTTTTTCCTGCACTTTATTTGATGTAAAACATTTTGTAATTTCATAAATAAATAAAAATGATCTCACCCCTCTGTTGGTTGTTGGTTCCTGCTAATACGGCATAAAAAATGTGATAGTTTCTCTCCCCTGGGTTCTGCCGTACGACCCGGTTCTGCACACATTCACATCATCACACACTGATCACTCATCAAACTGTCACCTAAACCTTTCAGGATCTTTTAATTTAATGAATTTGGACATCAAATGATTTTTACACATTTTACAGCTTTGATCAAATGGATTCAGACTCACTTTTTCCAGGAGGTCTTTGGTCAGAAAAGAATCAGTCAAGGAAAAAAAAAAACATTTAAATTTACAGCTGCCTGAACCCTGACCATTCTTTAAACACAATAACTCACTAAAATCATTAAAACGCTGAAGAAACTTTTCAGCAGATGATTCTAATTTATGATGTTTTAATACTTCGTCCTAAAGATCAGCATCACCAACCCTTCAGTGCTTCCTTCTTGGCCTTAATAACCTATACGCCACAGACATCCGGTCCAGCACGTGGTGCCACTCCCATCACTTCCGGTTCGCGGTCAACACAGTGTTAGCGAAAGATTTTTTCACCCGACAACGACTCTTAATGATCTCCACAGACGTACAGGTCCAGCCAAGTGGGAAAAAAAATCACTCCAAAGTGGATTAAAGCCATAAAAACAAAGGAAAGACGTTGGTGTTTATGGGTCCAGAATTTAGCCTTTTTCACTATTCCTTGGCTGCTTGTTCTGTGACTTTTTCACGTAGAGCTGTGACACTTATATTATATTGTTGGAAAGAGCAGAGTCTGAGCTTTAAATTGATGGACTACTTGTTTGGTTTGGATCATTTTCCCCGATGTTAGTGAACTGAAAACGTAATGATTATCAGACGGAGGTTTTGCAGCTCTCGTCGCTCGGCTTTTGTTTACGCTGTAATATACACTCTAACAAGTTTTACTTTTGCATAAAACTCATGACAAAGTTGCCTAAAAACATTTCATACTCTGTATAACATAAACAAACGCGCACACCGACCTATACCGGCTGCTGTGTTAGCTTCCTGCTAGCTGTGAGGAGGTCTTTCCCCTCTGTCTTGGCAGTAAAAGGGGATAAATGTACATTTCCCTTTTGTAACCTCCGTCTTCTCATTTCTGATGCTGGCTCTTGAATATCCTCAGGTTAGAAATGCTGATTACACACGCAAGCGTGAGCTTTTATAGCTAAGTTTTCCCTGTAATGCTATGATCCGCTGCTGTCACCTCCTCATCTAAAGGAAAAAGGATAAAAACTAACTACTCGATCGTACCTGCTGCTTAGTGGACACAACGACACACAACAGAACTCATGTTTTATACCAGTAGATCACAGATGCTTTAACTTTTGTGACTTTTTCACGGAGTAGTATCAGGAGCTAACGCTAAAAAGCGTGGCAAGAATTTTACTGGAAATACGTCATTAATGACCGTGGCATTAAGGCTGTTCTCATTAAGGCAATAAGCAGAGACAGGAAGTGTGAAATCAAGCAGGTTTAAAAGGATACAGTCAACAATCCGGCCCCCCTGGATGTTTCCCTTCTGGCTGAAATGCAGCTGGACAAACTTCCCGAAGCGGCTGGAGTTGTTGTTGTAGACGGTCTTGGCGTTTCCGAAGGCCTCCATGATGGGACTGAGGAGGGAGAGAGGAGCCGGAGCGTCAGCCGGGTGTCAGGTGCCGTCAGGGTTTAATGAAATTAATCATCACCTGCTCTCCAGCAGCGCCTCCTCCACATGCGAGCTCTTGTCCCTGCAGGAGACCTCCAGCGAGTGCTGGCTCATGGCTGACAGGAACCTCAGGATCAGCTTGGTGCTTTCCGTTTTACCGGCTCCACTCTCTCCACTGAGGAAAGCAGAAACACATCTGTAGCACCAACATCACTGAACACAGAAAGAGCATTTAGTTCCAGATTTCAAACAATGTTTCAATGCAAAAATAGATGACAGCATCTGCTGATTCCTGCTCTCTTGGAATCTGTTTTCTAAAGCGATGACCCAATCACAGCCCCACTTTCTTTTTCTTCTGTTTCTTTCTTCCTGTCTGGTCTCAGAGAGTCTGCTTTACTTTATTAAATTAAACAACTGCCTGCAGCAGAATGAACCTTGTTAGGACAGATTTATTTGTTTCTAACAGAAGCAACATCATGAAACATTCAGAGAAAATGTTCCAACTTCAACCACTAGATGGCAGACTGCTCCTGAACTCCACTTAAAATACATGAATATTAATCTATTTATGCACAAAAAATTAATTAGATTATGATGCAGAGCAGGAGCTTTTTGCCTTTTTGTTGGAAAATTTACTCTTTTTTTTCTCTTTGAGTTATTAGCAACTGGTAGATAAGAGTTTAGTGATGACATCATAACCCAGCACCATGCAGGCACAGCTGACATTTAAAACAGCTCCTGTACGATTTAACATGTTCAACTATCAGAGAAGTCCCACCACCATAATCACTGGTGTTGTGCGTCACGCTCATCCCACAGCAGGCTCAGTCTAAAACACAAACTGATGCTGTGACACCAAACTGACCCTGAGTCTGTGAAACCTCTGCTGCACACCAGATAAGGGTCGGTTTAACTGAAACCTCTCCTACCAGAACATTAAATTATTACTTTCTATGACAACAGTTCATGTTTCAACCAAGAGTGTTGCTCATGAAGTGTGAATTAGAATCACACGAACTAAATCCAGCCTTGCTCCTCCTCATCAACAGGAGTCAAACGATCAGAATTCCTCTTGATTTGTTTTATTCTGAATGTTGTCCAGGTGGGACTACAGATCCTCTCAGGTCTGGGATCCCTCAGGAGGAGCAGGAGAGCATCACCTGTGGAGGGCAGGATCTATGGACCTCTAACTTTAAGCTACAGTAACAAATAAGCAACATGTTTTAAACGGTTTTTAAACATGAACCTGTTTCAAACATGAGACGTGCTGCAGGAGAAGCCTCCCTGATTCAGAGCAGGACCAGAGAAAAGATAAACATTCAGGGGGTCTGGTTAAAGCTGGAGATGTGAACAGGCAGCAGATGTGACCGGATGTTATGACAGCACCGACTCTCAGAGAGAACTGGAAGGAAACATTTAGGGTTCAGCTTTTAGCTTCTTTAAAACGTCAGTTTTTTACAGCAAAACGACAATCAGAGGAACTTTAACTGGACTTTTATTTATCTGAACTCAGTGAACAAGGTTAACGTTGGTGTAAACTCTACACTCTTTTAGCGTCCCATTTAGGTAAAATTTAAAGACACATTAAGACTGTTTAAGATTTAAACAGTTTTTTTAAACAGTACTGATCAGCAAACAGGAAATGACTGTTTTTGTCTCCAGTTTCTAGTCTCTAGTTTTTTAAACAAACATAAGATTATTAAAATTCAGAAACTGTACAAATATGGCATGAGAGGTCCAGCACTACAGTGGGTATCTAGTTATCTGACAAACAGGAAACAATTTGTTCGATTAAATGATGTAGGATCTAAATTTGGTGATATTACATGTGGAGTTCCACAGGGTTCTGTGCTTGGACCAAAGTTGTTTCTCTTATATGTAAATGATCTGGTAAATGTGTCAGGGTTGTTTAAAAGTGTTTTCTTCACAGATGATACCACATTTTTTTGTTTGGGCAAAGAGTCAGATCAGATGTTCGGGATGATGCAGACAGAATTTGTAAAAATACAAGCTTGGTTTAAGCTTAATAAATTATCACTAAATTTGGACAAAACCAATTATATGATATTCAGTAATAGAAAAAGAATGGTCGATGTTTCATTTAAAGTTGATGGGGTGGAGATCTGTAAAGTTAGTGAGGTGAAGTTTTTGGGTGTTATTTTTGATGAAAAACTGACCTGGAAACCTCATATAAATTACTTAAGAACAAAAATAGCAAAATCAATTGCAGTACTATAAAAGTGTAACACGGGGGAAAGAACCCGGATTGTGACTGAGGACGTGGCCCTGAAGACAACTGGTAGAC